AGAAAAGATAAAATAGCAACTAATGACATGTTTTCTTTATCTAGATCGTACTTTAACTGTCCGATCATAAGCATTTAACCATCAGTCATATCATATTATTCTTTATCTTACCTAGTTCAGATCTATCTGCCTTTAGGTAAAAAGCCTTTCTCATTATCAATATATATGTATTTCATGTATAAGAAAAGATGAATTAATAAAGAAATAAAACTTTAGTTTCCAAAATCTTTCACCCCAGACACAACAGATGAGCTTGTTGATGGAAAGAAGAAGAAAAAAGCAAAGCTTGCAGGCCCCCCAATTTAACAAACTTCAACAAAAGCCTCTGGTCAGCTTATCCATCTTACCACGCAAATAAGGACAACCCAACTCGAAGAAACCGCTTCTTGAATCTCTTTATGCTCTTTTCAGCCCATTATGGCTCTGTGGAATCAGCGGTCATGGGAAGGATGTCTTCACCGCAATTGCTCATCACTTCTCATGTCAATCAACTGGCGAACTAAATGGCAGTAACACAATTCGTTCAACTTTGACGCGTGGACAAAACATGGTATTCAATGTTCTCAGTCCTAAATGTCCAGGACGATTCCTTCCTGGCGCGTTTGCTTCTTGCGATTACTTCCTTGAGGTTGCATTGGATCCCCAACTTCACAAGAAGGATGAGTATAAGCAGCTCTTCTCGATTGATGAACATCAAACTTTCACCTGCGAACTCCAGCTGAATAAATTGCAGAAGCACCCCACTCGAGATCACCGCACCCTTCATGTCTTGACAATCAAGCCGCAGATGTTTGATGAGAATCGGATTCCTCACTCTGATGTATCAAAGCTAATCGAGATGTGGCAAACCAATGGATTGCTGGCAACTTCGGGTATGATCTGCAAACACTGCAATCCAAACAAACCAAAACCGAAGCTCCCAAAGAACACCAAAATTCAAAAAGTGTCTTCCGATGTCGACAATGTAAAGCTGCTTGGATCCTCCGAAAAGACATCACACCACATAATTGATTGATCAAGATTGGCTGTCCCAGCAAATGGAGCCCCGCTTCATCTTAATTTCTATGTAGATGTCACCAGCATAACCGACGAGAAACAGAAAAATAACTTTATGGGATCAATCGATTGGCCGTTCAAGATTAACGTTGGAGGCGCCACATACACTCTGATCTCCCGAGGCTACTGGCAACAAAATCACTACTGGTGTAAGGTCCTTCGAAGTGCTAACATCTCAGCTGACAAGGGTAGTTTGACCGCAATTTGGTTACACAACGACGCCGAGAATGATGGGTATGCTCAACAGATCAATCAGGTTCCCAGTTTGATTGCCGGAGTGGAAGAAAACACAAGCTGGCTCCTTTATTTGCGCGATTGGACACCTTCGGAGGAAGAATATGTCAACAACGCGATTCAGAAAATTGTAGCCAAAAATCCAGAAGCTGCTGGCGATGTCCCTTCCAAGGAGATGAAGTCAATTTTGACCACATCACACAGCTTGACGTTAATTCCCCACACCACCACAAACAAAGTTAAATCTACTCCTCCAACTACTGTCACATCCCAGGCCAGAGAAAAATCGCCTTCAACAACTACGGGTAATGCTCCAAAAAATTACACTTCACCACTCAAAGGAACAACTCCAATTGCACAACTCGCCTCTCAAATGAATGCACAGATTGCTCAAAAGTATGCAATAGACCAAAAAGAACCAGACACCAAACAACAGTGTTCCTTGGATGCAGAAGTCACACTGGAAATAGACAAATCATTCCTCTCGGTTGGCAACAAATCTCATGGTGATCAATCTTTTGTGCTTGGCGATCAATCTTGTGGCAAATCTCGTGATCAATCTTTTGTGCTTGGCGATCAATCTCTTGAATCCCATGGTGATCAATCTTGTGGCAAAGATGGCAACAAAGACGGTGGTGATCAAACCTTTTCTCTTGGTGATCATACTGGCGAAGACGGTGGTGATCAATCTTTTGCTCTTGGTGAACAGTCTCTTGGCAATCAAACTGGTAATCAGTCTCTAGCTGATGAAACAGATGATCATGTTACTCAAACTCAGGTGAAACACAGTCAAGAGGATGAAGAAGTCCCTCAGAAACCTCCAATACGGTTCAAGGTCATACTGAGACCACTTGAGAAAGGATCACCTCCAAGTACCAAAGGAAAAACCCAGGCTTCAAGACAATCAGTGAGAAAGAAAAAATGAGATTGAAAGATTGTTCTCCTGGAATGAATTCACTTTTCCATTTATTCTGTTTGAGGCTCTGCGTTTTTTATTTTTGATCTGCTTTTTGATTTTTCTTCTTCTTTTGTTCATTCCTTTTTGTTTGGTTTGAGGCTGTGTCTTTATCTTTTTTACCCCTTTTATCTTTTTTTGAGGATGTATTTCTCTTTTTTCTTTTGATTGCCTTTTATTGTTTTTTTGATGCTGTGTCCAACGGTGGGCCAGTTACACTAACCGTAGTGTTAGTGCAGCATAGTGGTAGCTTTTTAAGCTACGCTACACAAAAGTTACCGTTAGCGGGAATTTTTGGCCCACTAACACTACAGGATTTTTGAAAAAACAAAAAAAACTTTAGCGTAGTGTTAGCTACCTTTAAAAAGGCACAAGTAACACTACCAAAAATCCTGTTAGTGAAATTTTAGCGGTGTTAGTGGGTGAAACCACTACACTACATGTTAGTGTAACTTTCTGCAAATTTACACTAACAGTTAGTGTAGTGGTACCCTCAGTTACACTAACTGTTAGCGTAACTGGTGAAAAAGTTACACTAACTGTTAGCGTAACTGGTGAAAAAGTTACACTAACTGTTAGCGTAACTGATTAAAAGTTACATGACCACATGACTAGCATTAGTCTAACCTGAAGACAGTGCCTGATTGGGGGGCCTACATCCAGATCCCCTCAATTGATCATCATTTTTTTCAGCTGGTAATGGGGGCCACTCAATTTTAGCCCCCTGCCAATTTTTAACACTTACTTGTAAGACCACATTCCCCTGTCAGACTACCTTGATATTATGGGTTCAATTCCCCCTCAGATCATACTTTACTGGGTTCCATTCCCACACTTGTCTAATTTCCACTTTCACATCATGTAGCAAGGGGGGGGGGGGTTGAGGTGTAACCATGATGTATCACCATAGTGTGGTGGAGCTGTTGGCATGAACCATGGCAACTACCACCCAACCAACCTTACAACCATAAGGGTCTGTAGCCTAGTTGGTAAAGGAAGCACTCTGGTATGTGACTCAGCATTGCTGAGGTTGTGAGTTCAAATCTCACCAGGCACATCCTCCGTTTGTTTGTCTCTACATCTTGTGCTGTTCATTTTCTGCGGGATTGTGTGTGATCATAGGACATTGAAAATCGTCACTATGGACCTTGGCCGTATCAGTTATATGGACAGTTCACACAACTTGTCCACATAAATTCTCACTTGACATGTCAATTTCTCTAATTGATGATTTACACTACGCTACATGTGTAGTGTAAATTCTACCGTAGCGTAGTGTAACTAGGCATGTAGTGTAGTGTAGCGTAGCTTAATTTGGTATAAGTTACACTACATGTTAGCTTGAAATCAGTTACACTACCTGATGGTCAAAATTTTGTTAGCGCAAAAAAAGTTACACTAACTGTTAGTTTAGCTGAGATTATTTGAAGCTAACACTACCAAAACATTTGAGAGAAAAATTTACACTACACTAACAGTTAGCATAGTGGGGTTTAGCGTCAGCTAACACTACAGAATTTCCAGGAAATAAAAAGGCCACTACACTAACAGTTAGTGTTCAAATAGCATAGTGTAGCGTAGTGGCCCACTGTTGCTGTGTCCTTGATGCTTTTTTTTTATTTCTGTGTTGTTGAGGCGGTGTCTTTATCATTTTTGCCCCTTTTATCTTTTGTTGAGGCTGTCTTTCTCTTTTTTCTTTTGATTGCCTTTTACTGTTTTTTTGAGGCTGAGTCCTTGATGCTTTTTTTTTTATTTCTGTGTTGATTTTTGTCTCCCTCTTTTTTTTTTTTTTTTTTTTTTTTTGGAGGGTTGCAAATTATGGTTTGTAAAATTCAATTTTACATACCTTGTTGTGCAATTTTACAAACCATAATTTACAACACATAGATGGGTTGCAAACTAATGGTTGCAAAATTCCTTGAAATGAGGCAAAAATGTACTTTTGCAAACCATATTGTTTGCAAGACATAAGGGTTGCAACATATGTGCCTTAAAATTCTACTTCATGGGGCATGGGTTGCAATTTTAAGGCACATATGTTGCAACCCTTTTTTTTTGCAACCCATATTTTTGGGTGATGTGTAAACCCCCTCCCTCCTCTGTCAGGGTTCACAAGGGTTTCACATTCATTTCTCCTTTCTCATAGTTATCCCGGGCTATTGTTCCTTTCCTGGCTCAGCAGAGATCTGATCCCAACCTCTCTCTGAGCCAGGTGAGTCCCAATTTCTATTCTTCATTCTGTTTGCTTTTGTTCTCCTTTCATGTGATGTTGTATGAGAGATCTGATCCCAACCTCTCTCTGAGCCAGAAATACAAATCCCCCCACAGTTTGGTCTTAGAATTCTTCGGCTCATTAGCCCGTCTCCTTGTCCTTTTCCCTTCATCCAGTGAAGGACTAACAGAGTCCTTACACTTTTTTTTTCTCACTCCAAACACCAAATACGACTGATATCGACTGTTCCGGGCTAGCGCTTCGCTTACTGCTTTCAATTCAATTATACTGTTCCGATCGACTCAACTGTTCCGTCCGACATACTGTTCCGCCCGACTTCCTTACTGTTCCAACTCGACTTCCTGTCCCGACTGATCTACTGCCATCTTCCGAAATATTTGACTCCTCATCCCGTACTTCCACTTCTCAAAGTCCTTTCTTTTGCGCTTGGTCCGATACATGATAACACGGAACAACGCCACTACCGACAACGTAATCCCCTTATCTGATCCTGAGGCAATACTCAAAGCCGGTAACGCTGAAAAGAGGCGCATTAAACAAATCTCGACCCAATCTACTACTCTTCTCCCTTCGACAACCACCACAACTCCTCCTGGAATCATGGCCGACGAAGTTCCCCCAACCGGTAGTCAAGGACAACCAGCTGATTCCACTCGCGACTCCACGCGTACTGCCGACGGGACCGACATGAGCACCGCCAAAGAATGGTTTAAAGCGGTACTCAAGATACAACACTCGTCCATTGCCCAGGCACAAGAAGACCGCCGACAAGCTTTAGAAGATCGGCGAGCAGATCACCAATTATTTCTTGCTGCCCATCAAACTAGCGCAACCCGTATCGCCCGATTAGAGGACCTACTCCTGGCGATGAATGTCAAGAACGAAGTAAACGCTTGTGAAACCTACACCCAGTACAGGTTTCACAAGAGGTTCACACATTATTACATAATCATAAATTCTACGGTACTTAGTTCCTTTCTCCCCATTCCCCTCCTAGCTCAGTAGAGACCCACTGACTTCTTACTACTGAGCTAGGTGAGTGATTTCATTTCATAATTCTTTCTTATTATTACTCTTGTTGTTTATTATTATTCAGTAGAGACCCACTGACTTCTTACTACTGAGCTAGAAATAAAACACACAGCGGTTCTAGAATTGGTCTCCACAAAGCATTGGCTTTGTTTCTAGAATTTACTCGTCCGACGGTGAAGGATCAAATCGGATCCTTACACTTTTTTTTTCTCGAACTACTGTCAAACCCAACGTCAATTCATGAGCACTCGGTCAAAAACCGACACCCTCATTCCACTAACAGATCCAGAAGCCATCATCAAAGCGTCGAACGCTCAAAAACGGCAAGAGAAACTCGAAGCGGCAATACGGAATAACGCGCTAGATTCTCTACTTGCACCAAATCAATCCTCGCTTCATCCATTCAACATGTCGAACGAGGATCCCTCAAAATCAAGCTCCGAACATCCTCCGAATGATAAGACAGCGGCGGGAGGCGATACAACCCCTCCGATGTCGATGGCAGACTACCTCAAAGGAGTCATTCAGCTCCAGCACCGCAGCATCGATCAAGCTAACATGGATCGAGCGGCGGCAGAAGCGAACCGACGACTGGACGCCGAGAGGATAGCGCGACTAGAGGATGCGCTCATGCTCATGTCGGTCAAAATCGAGCCAGAGCATGCGACCCCGCCTCCGACAAACTCCAGAGTCGATCTACAGCGGTTCAGATCGTCCGATGGACCCAGCTTCGTCGGGCCCTTCCAGAAGGTCGAACCCTTCCTTTCGTGGCTCCGAGGCGTTCAGATCTTTTTCGCCACAAAAGGGGTCACCCACGACAATGACAAGATCCACATCGTCGGCACTTTGATTCGCGAAACAAACACCCAGGCGTTCTATGCGGCCGGTGTTGAGAAGTTCATCGGACAAGGCTGGACAGGTTTCAAAGAGAAACTGATCGCCTTTGCCCTCCCACCGATGTGGCGCACCAATCTCCGAGCAGAATTCAAGGGCCTCCGCATGTCCAATGCCGAGGACTTTTGCAGCTACAGTACTCGCTCTCTCACTCTGCAGAGCATGTTGAATTTTGATAAAGAAACAATCTCCGACTTTGACCTAGCGGAGTCGATGACATTAGGAATGAAGGACGACTTACAAGCGGAGGTACATGCCCACCAACTTCTTTTAGCCTCCCCTTTCGATTTCAGCATTTTTGACAGTCGAGCCAGTGGATTCTGGGATTGGATTGCCAAACGATCAACGGCAAGACCTAAACCGAGTCATCAACAAGCCACTCAGAATCAAGATCGACCCTCAGAACGGTTGTCGAGAGAGGAAAACCTATGGCGAGTTCATGCATTCCTTGATTCAACAGGGCGCTGTCACTACTGTAAGAAGAACTGCGGCAGTGCCGCTGGAGCTTGTCCAGGTCCCATCGATCGCAGCCGCATCCCGATACCCGCATCATTCACAGCTCCTGCCAAACCGGCCAACTACACACCTCCGACAGCCAAGCTTGCTCCCAACCATACGGCAGGAAGACCAACACAACCCCCGGCAGGAAGACCAGCAGGACGAGCAGCCACAGTGGCCGCAATCTCAGAGGAAGGCATTTGCCCTCCCTTAGATCAAGCATCCATATCAGCAATAACAGACATGGAAGAAGAGCTCCGTCTGGCTAGAGAGGAAACGTACGTATCCAAGACAAGACCACGGCGACTAATCGTCAATTTTACTATGGACGGGGTAAACTTACGAGGTTTGATTGACACAGGCTCGGAACTGAATCTAATCACGGACGAGGCAGCTAAATTGACAGGCGTAAGGATTCAAGAGATGTCAACACCAACGGTGGTCAGTTTAGCCTTAGATGACTCAACCTCAGTCCCCATCATACTCAAGCACTTTGTGGTAGTATCTCTATCCGATCCCAATTCCGCGCTCACCTTCAAGGACGTCAATCTCAAGGTTGGTCAGATCAAAGGGGACTACGAGATGATTTTAGGAATACCGTTTCTCTCTCAATTTTGTTTATCCGTCTCAATCTCCGATAATGCTCTGCAATGTGGACGCTCTGGTTGTACTATAGTTGATTACCGCCATCCTACTGCAATACATCAACAGACTTCACCACCTTCTCCCACAACCACCAGCATGGATGCATTGACTTATCCCTGTGAGACTTCTGAAAAGAAGATTCTCCAAGAGTTTGAAGACTTGTTCCCTGCAGACATTCCGGCTGTATCTGATACCACCGCCCTAGACGACCATCCAACAGACAACACATTCCCAAAGAAACTACAACTAGAAAGCTCTAAAGTCCGACACAAAATTGTTTTGACTAACCCGGATGCAGTGGTAAATGAGAAATCTTACCCCTACCCCCGCAAACATCTTGTTGCATGGCGTACGCTCCTGGATCAACACTTGGAGGCAGGAAGGATCAGACGATCATCTAGCCAATATGCGTCACCCAGCATGATAATACCAAAGAAGGATCCATCAGCACTACCACGCTGGGTTTGCGACTACCGGACCCTGAATAGCTTAACAGTACGCGATCGGTCCCCATTGCCTAACGTTGACGAGTTGGTCCGGACAGTTGCGACTGGGAAGGTCTTCTCCATTCTAGATCAAACGAATGTGTTTTTCCAAACACGGATGCGAGAGGCTGACATTCCTCTAACGGCCGTGAAAACACCCTGGGGATTAATGGAGTGGTGTGTCATGCCTATGGGATTGACTAACGCGCCAGCAACACATCAAGCAAGATTGGAGGAGGCCTTGGGTGAACTTATAAATGACATCTGCGTAGTTTATCTTGATGATATTGTGATTTTTTCAGACTCCTTCCAAAGCCACGAGGAGCACGTACGCAAGGTATTACACCGATTACGGGCGGCCAACTTGTACTGCAGCCCAAAGAAGACCAAATTGTTCCGCAGGCAAGTCAAATTTCTGGGTCACTGGATCTCAGAGGAGGGAATCAGAGCGGACGACGACAAGGTAGCACACGTACTGGATTGGCCAACGCCTAAGTCAGCAAAAGGAGTGAAGAGATTTCTCGGTACGGTCCAATGGATGAAGAAGTTCATCTGGGGACTGCAGAAATATGTGGATACGCTGACCCCACTCACTAGCACCAAACTAGATCCCAAACAATTCCGATGGGGGGCCGCCGAGGAAACAGCTTTCAACAATATCAAGAAGATAATGACGTCACTCCCATGCCTCAAGAACATCGATTATGATTCAGACGACCCTCTGTGGCTATTCACAGACGCCAGTGGATCAGGCTTAGGAGCAGCATTGTTCCAAGGTCAAGACTGGAAGAAGGCTTCACCCATAGCGTACGAATCACACCTCATGACGCCAGCAGAAAAGAATTACCCGGTTCACGAGCAAGAGCTATTGGCGGTCATCCACGCGCTACAGAAATGGAAGATGTTACTCCTGGGAATGAAAGTTAATGTGATGTCAGACCATCATTCACTCACTTATCTACTCAAACAGCGGAATCTTAGCCGACGACAAGCAAGATGGACGGAAATTCTGGCGGATTTTGATCTCCATTTCGAATATATCAAGGGTGAAGACAATACAGTGGCGGACGCCCTCTCGCAAAAGGAAATAGACAAGGAGGATCCACCGATTGAAGCAGCAGACGTTGCTAGCGTGGCGGCTCTGACGGAACTGGGGACAGGGCTTTCTGACTCTCTCAAATTCAAAGTACGGGAAGGATACAAGACTGATCCTTTCTGCTTAGCCATTAGAGAAGCCCTGCCCTTGAGGAAGGACTGTCTAGATGTCGACGGACTTTTGTTTATCGAGGGCAGACTAGTTATCCCAGCAACGGGGGAGCTCCGCCACAATTTGATGAATGAAGCTCATAACCGACTGGGTCATTTAGGATATTTGAAGACAATCACAGAACTCCGGCAGGACTTTTTCTGGCCACGAATGGCCAAACAAGTGGCAGAATTCGTCGATAGTTGCCCCACGTGTCAGAGAACAAAGGCCCTGACATCATCCCCAACTGGGAAGATGTTGACTCCATCCTTCCCCCGGAAACCTCTTACTGACATAGCCATAGACTTTGTGGGACCTCTTCCCAAATCAACACACTACGACATGATCTTAACCTGCACTTGCCGATTATCAGGGTTTATTAAGATCATACCAGTTCTACAGACAGATACGGCAGAAAAGATTGCAACACGATTCTTCTCCCACTGGGTGACAACGTTTGGCGCCCCAGCATCAATTATCACGCGCACCGAATAGAGCAAACTTTGGACATCCAAGTTCTGGAAAGCGCGCTCTGTGTATCGCCTCAACATTCAA